TCTCTTCATTACCACTAACTGTATCCCCGTTCCAAGACAGTATCTCTATATAATTATTTTTCCTTTTGAAATTAGCAAGACATTGAAAATACTTATTGTTTCTATCTCCCTCTTTCAGTCATTTCTCTAGCTTTTTGTTTCCATGAAATCGCCTCCAGGTTCAAAATAAAGCTCATCTCCTTTTTTATTTCCTCCCTTCTTGCCTTGCCATGCTCACCTAATGACCCCCCATCTCTTTATTGTCTAAGTCATCCAACTCCACAAAATACTCCTTGATAATCCTCTCCGTTCTGCCCTCCTCCTGCCTGGCCCAACACTTGATGGCATTCTTCAAATATTTCAGCTTGTAGGCAAATTTGAAATTAGCAGTCCCCTCAACAGCTGCCTCTTTCCAACATTTTTCCACCAAAGGTCTGAAACCCGCCACCTTCAACCATTTGTTCTCAAGCCTAAAAGGGGTGGGGTCCCAAATGATGCCTTCAGGCACAAGGCAAATAGAGAAGTGGTCTGAAATTGGCTTGGACAACACTTTTTACCTTAAACCTGCAAGCTACATTAACAACCCGTTAGAGATAAAAAAATGGTCAATTCTTGACCATGATGGGGTAATCCTCGAGTTTGACCACGTCCACCTGCCTCCCCCTTGCGGAAGATCCACCACCTCCAAGTAATCCAGCATGTCCCTAAACTTCTCTACTTCTCTACTACTGGTGCCCCCTCCCGACCTCTCATGCATGTGGAGAACCATGTTGAAGTCCCCCCCAATCACCCAATTTTCACCTTATCTTATTTTACAACTACTCAGTTCCTCCCACAGCCTCTCCCTTTCCTCTCTGTTACCTCTACAGTATACTCTAGAGAAAACCCATTTCTTCCCATACCCCTGATTTTCAAACGGAATCGACAGGGAGACTTTACCCTTTCTCCACCACTCTGCAGACTAATTTTTTCTTCATCCCATATTACAAGGGATACCTCTCACAACCCCATCTGCAGGTGTATAAACCCAATCCACCTTACTGCCTCTTCCTTAGTTTGGTCTCTTGTGAGCAAACCAAGTTAGGCTTCCATCTTCCCATGCAACCTTTAATAATCCTCTGCTTTTTACGATCATTAATTCCCCTCACATTCCATAAGATAATTTTTCCTACCATCATTATATTTTGCTAAGCTTACCTCCCTTCCTCCCTTCTGCCGATTTTTTAGCTTCATAATTTAAAGACCACTCCAACGTTTTCAATTCTCTACTCCCTCCTTCCACCCCTCTACTAACTCCTTTTTATCTTTTTTCCTCTCTCTTTCTGCTTTCAGGAACCTTAACGTCAGTTCAGCCAATAGACTCAATACTCTATTCTCAAGGCCCTCAAAAGATAGTCCAAACATGTTACTCACCTTGACAAAATTTCTCTACACCCAGCCCGAGTACATTTCTTCCGTCCCTTGGTTAGCCATATGCACCAGTTCGCAGTTGAGGATGTCGCTTTGTAGGGGAGACACATCAAGAGCCACCTCCCCGCAGTCATCGGCCAACCCAGATTCGACCACAGCCAATTCGTTACGTCTCCCAACCGTACTCTCCCCTTCCTCTTTATCAATTTCAATCCCCTCAGCCCCATCAATTCCTCCCTCCGAATCAACCACAGAGTATCCAGAAACACCTGACTGGAGCGAACTGTAGCATCCAACCTCTAAATTAAATAAAAGAATACGTAAAAATTTAATAAACTAGAATTAGGATTTAAATAAAATGATTTTATTAATTTTGGGAGTTTTAATTAATTTCAAATACTTAAATGAAAACAAGTAAGAAAAAAAGGGTAAAAATATAAATAAATGGAAGTGAAAGGGGACAAAAAGAAAATCGAGAACGGACGGTCCTGATCAAACCGTCTGAAAGATCAAATAGCTGAGATTTAATAGAGAACAGACGACCCAGATCGAGCTAACGAGATCTAACGGTTGGGGGAATGGATGTAAAAAGGAAAAATTTTAGGATTTCTCTTCATTTGTGAGAGTAGTCGACAAAGAGAGAGGGAGAAGGAGAGAGGAGCCGATCGGGGAGAGAGAAGGGAGAAGACTGTCGCACGAGGGAGCCGAGAAGAAGAAAGGAGAGGAAAGGAAGAGGGAGGCCGGAAAAGAAGAAGGGAAAGGAGGGAAAAAAAAGGAAGAGAAGAGAGGAGTGGCTGAGCAGGAAAGAGAAGGGGGAGCCAAGAACGGCCGCTGCAAGGGAAGAAAAGGGAAGAAAAGAGAGGCGGAGGCGGTAAAATGGTGGAAGCCGAGCCGAAAGGAAGGAGGAAGAGGAAACGATCGAGGCGCCATGCAATGATGGAGATCAACGCGAGCAAGGTAAAAAAAAGTTTCGTTTTTCGTCTTTTCTTCCCCTATTTTGAATCTTTTCTATTTTACACTAATTGATGTTTAGGCGTGAAAAATCATCATCTGACTCTCAAGCAAGCTAGGGAGTTGCAGGGTGGCCGAGAGGAGACCACCAGGAGCAAAACCGAGGCCGAATCGCCCCACGCCAAAAAGGTAAAGCTTTTTTTTTTTGTGTTTTTAATGGCTGTTGAGTGACAGGGGAGCAGTGATTGGTGTCGAGTTGGTTGCGCGAGCTCGGCTTGGCCACCTACCTGCGCGGGAACCGAGGAGTCTCCTCGGGAGTGGAAGACTGATCCACCCGTGAAAGGTGAAGGGCCTTCCTCGGGAATGGTGACCGGATTCACCCTTTTGGGATCCCGATTCACCATTCAAGAAGCTGAAAAGTCTTCCTCGAGTATGGGAATCTGATCCGTCAAACGGGAAGCTGAAAGGCCTTCTTCGGGTACGGATCCCGATGTTTTCGGGTATCCTGGTGGGTGGGTTGTCATTAAAATCCATAATTTCGATTAAATTAGTTTTGGTTAGTATTTAAATTATATTAATTAATTTGTATCGTGCACGTACAGGGAATTAGGATGTTCAGGCGGATCCAGAAAGATTGTTGCGTACGAGATTAAATATTTTTTATTCTGAACCTGGATTCGGATTTTGAAATTTGCATGTATTTTATTAATTTATGTATATTTTAAAATTTAAACAGATACTGATCCGATTTTCGATGAAGAACAGAAATCGAACTTATAGGTAGGGACTTAAACTATTGGATATTTATGAAGAGACGAAACCCAAAAAACAAACCCCAAAGACTAAGCAATACTTGGATTGTGATGAGAAATGAATTTAAAATTAAAAGAAATTTCTAATTAAGTGGAAAGTTAAAAAAGAAATAAAATAATATAAAAAAACAAAAATAGAAAAGAAAATGAATAATTATGGTTATGAAATGATTAGTTAAATAAAATTTTAGAGAAAATAGAATGAGAGTAAAATAAATAAGAAATCAGAAATGAGAGAATGCGAGTGATTAGAGTATGGACCCTCAATGCCATTTTTCGTTTAATCTGAATCGAGAAGGGGAGTGTGTGTATGTAGCTGAAGTTAAGCGGACATGGTAAACCTGCACATGGATAAGAGTTTGAAACCTAATGCAGACGTGGACAAGTGTTTGTGAGTGTGGGTCACTTAGCAAACATACCTGTTGTGGTCATTGTGAGATTTGTGTGTGTGCTATCCATGCAATGAGATGATCCATTTTGCCTCTCCTCAATAATGACATAAACGGTATCGCGCGATGAAACCTTATAAATGGTTTTTCGAGTGTATATGTGACCTTTCGTGTGTATATAGTTATGTGGTTATGTTTTAAGGTTATGATTGATATTCGAGTGTATCTACATTCTTTTGAGAGTATGTAAATATACATTTGAGAATTGTATATGATTTTTAAGAGAATTCAGAAATCCGATCAGAAATAGTGAAATTGTGAAAATAATAAATGAATTTTGCATTAAAACATCCCTATTGCATTTGTCTTATGTTGTGTGTTTTACATGAAATTTTATTTAGGTTGAAAGAACGGAAATATTTATTGAGTTGGTGAAACTTATTAAATTTTACCCTGATATTTTTTAGAGAAGAAAGAAGAGGTATAACCACTGCTAAACGAGTAGAACCTGCAAAAAGGGTTTCTGTTTTCTATATTTTGTGCGTATTCGAAAAATTTTTATTTTGTTTTATTAAACTCTAAATTTTGACATAATATTCTGCATATATAATTACTGTATATATCACATGAGATATTAGATTATACAAAAAATTTTGATCTGTGTATATGTATATTTTGTAAGCCCATTGCATGAAAAGGACATGAGTAGCAATTGCGCCTCATATCAAGTGTGGGGTGTTACACAAACCCAGACCATCCTCGACCCCGACTCCACCCACCTTCGTCGTGTCAACGAAACTCGACCTATCCGCTTCCCCTCTAACCCTAACCCTCACCAACAGAGTCAGGCTCTCTAAAGATTTATCCATCCCTTCACCCGATTTAACCCCTTTATACTGACCCGAATGACCCGTAATTTTGGGCGAGCCAAACTTGGCCCGGTTAGGCTGCCAAATCTTCCTCATCCTTTTTTTACCTGCAGCCTTACTCGGCCCAGGATCATTCACCCACTTTCCTTTTTCAACCCACGAGAGCTTAACTTTTTTTCTTCCCTCATTCAGCCCATTGTACACCATTCCCTTTTCATTCTCCTGCCCTACCCTCGTCATGTGACCCCCACTCTCCTGATTTCAAATTTCAAATCTCTTCTACTTGACCCACTATGATCCACCTTCCCTTCCTGCCCTACCCGACTCACCTTCCCACCTAGTCTACCAAGGATTTCAGCAAATGATACCTTCTCTCTTTCCACCAATTCAAGACTGCATCTAGGGCACTTGAATACCACAGTGCTTTGCACCGTCTGGGGGAAGGATTTCCATTCAATCATATTTCTTTTTTTCCTCAACCACGCTGGGGGAACCAATTTTACTCCAGCGATTTCATGGACGGCATCCATTAATTTCCACCAGCCTTCAGCCTGATCCCCCTCAGGGAAAACTAACATATTGGACCTCCCTCTTGAGTCATCTTTACCTTCCGATAACGTTAGGAATCTTTCCCGCTTATTGCAACTTAGAACGAGGCGCAGTGTTCTCCACTAACTTCTTCGGAGCCTACTACAGACCACCTGTCCTTTCTCCCATATGAACTCTTTGAGACTATTTAGGAACCATACAATGTCTTTTTTTTTAAGAAAAATAAATCTCCGAGAGCCCCTACCGTTTTTTAAAACTCTAATGCCCCTCCCCTCTTCCACTACATCAAAAGATTTCTGCTCAACAACAAAAAATTTCCGCCGGCCCACCGACATAGTTGGCCGCCGCAACAAACGCTCTAAACACCAAATCACTCAGAGGATCCTACAAATACAGAAGCTCCATAGAGACTATTAGGATTTCGTTGTCGATTTTTAGGTTTGAGAGAGACAGAGAATATAAAAGGACTTTATGTCTCTTCGGATGCAACCATCATTTTAATTATAAATTGGTCATAATTTATCTGGTAGTCAGTAAAATATGGATTTATGAATAGATGACAGAAGTGAATAAAGATTTTAATACATAGGCAAGAAAATAAGACTAAGTGTTTGTAATATGGAAAACTTAAGTAAAACTAAAAAGAGAGATATCAATTAAGATATGATCTTTGAAGATGGGTGATCTATAAATCTGACAACTAGTGTTGTCGTCAGTTACAACTAGCTTTGTGATGTGAGTAAGGAGAGGGAAAATAATTTCTTTAAAGGGAGAATCAGACAAGAGGGAAAACTTCTTCCTAAATTATGTGATATCTTAAAAGAAGATAAAATCAAATCTCATTACTTAAAGAACTAAATCCCACGGTTTAGAAAAGATATGAGTGACCTTTTTGCTCTTTTAATGACCAACCTTAATTAATTATATTTACTTCCCCTAATTTCTCAATAATTAATCAAAATATTCTCATTTAAAAAGAAAATATCTTATCTGATCTATTTTAGTCAAAGTTTTCCTAATTTTTATTATTTTCTCATTCAAGATAAAACTTAATTTTTTTGTAATTTCTACTATTAATTTAAGATATTTATTTTCTTGTAACGCGTACGACATACTCTATAAATAAGTTTTCAATTCACATTTGTAATCATTTAAAGTTGAAAATAATAAAACTATCAAGTTTTAGTTTTTAACTAATTAGGTTTCGTCAACCTTATTATTGAGTGATAATTGATTTAACTTATCAAGTTAAGTTCTTGTAGCGTTTTATCAATTTTTTTTTGAATTGATTTCTAACTTATCAAATTCATACTTGTAGCGTTTTTAATCAATTCAAATTATCTCAATTATCTTGGTTGATATTCACATATTAAATGTAGGTTAAGTAGGGAGGATTTGTTGAGGATTTTATAATTCTAAATACTAATGTTATACGCTGAGTTCTTGATCATGTTAATTGATCTTGGATTCCGTATTATTTTGCTAGAAAGGGAACATATTCTTAACACTGTGGTTATGCTCAATGAAATAGTTGATGCTACTAATAAGAAGGATGAGCTTGGGATTTTGTTCAAGTGTGATATGGAAAAGGCAATTATGTGGTTTGAATTTCCTAATTTATCTCCTATAATGAATGTCTAACTTGAATAAATGGTCTCCTTTGGTTTTCCATTTAATAGGGGTCCATCCTGGCATTTCAAATCCATAAGGAGCTTAAGGCAAGACGACCTTGTCCCCTCTTTCCTAATTATCTTGGTTATGAAAGCATTTAACTGGATAATTCACCACATCTAGAGAGAAATTTTTTTTCCGTGGGCTATTGACGGGTGATAGTGGGAACGTCTTCCTATTTTTCCTTCATTGATGACTTTCTTCTCTTGAAGAAGTCTTCTTTTGTCCATATTAGATGTCTTCTTCCACACTTCTATGCAGTCTCTGGTCTTAAGAACAACTTAGGTAAAACAGAGTTGGTCCCCTTTTATGAGGGTGTTTAGGCAATTGAACTTCCTTGAAAATTGGGTTGTCAAGTGGTCACTTCCTAATCTTCCTCACCTCAGCAGCTAAAAGCAAGGATAAGAGGGTTTGAGCCCTACCATCCATAATATGGACAGAAGAATTCTCCCCATTTACTGTACGTCTCTATTGCCTCTACCCAACAGCGTGGCTAAGAGGCTCGAACAGATTCACTGTGAATTCCTGCATTGACTCCTAGGAGAAGTGGAAATTCCACCTGGTGAAATGGGACTCCGTCAAGCAACCTATTTTTACTGGGGAATTGGACATAGTGACTTTGTCCTTGTTCAAAAAAGACTCTTTGTAACAACCAGAATGGTAAACTTCCATTTATAATTGAACTCCAGATCTAGCCTATATCCATTTTATTGCTAGAGCTCACTGAAAAGCTTGACCGTGATAAATATAGGAAAAGAAAAACCAAGTTCTATAATAAAAAAAGAAAGAGTATC